TGCCCTTTGGAAATCAGACATGGAGTAATTGTAATCAATTACTAAGCGATTACATTTTCAAAGTAATTGCAATCATAATCGTAATCAGAAATTTGTAAGGCCTAGTAATCGTAATCAATGAATTGTAATCGTAATCTGTGATTACAATATAATTACATTTAAAATTTTGGATTTCTTTCTGCTTCAAAAATGTATTTCTGGCATTAACATTATAGAAGTGGTTTTCACAGCTTCCCAATTACCTGCACATAAGCAAAAGATCTTCAGACATCAATTCATTACCCATTAAGTCAATGCCCCTCAGCCCTGGATCACTAAGCTTAGAGGAGCAGGTGTGGTGAATTAAAAAGTAATTATTCATTCCTAGCCCACCATAAATGCATCTCCAAATTGGAGGCTAGTTTGCAGTTTCATTCTGGTGCACTTTAGGCTAAAGTGTAATTGTAATCTTAAGTTAATATTGTAAAAACTGATGTACTTTCAGATGGTAGCTACCAAGACACGAGTTTTTCAACATTTTGATGCTCCCATCAGAAGTACTTTGGGCAGCACTGTTCAATATCAATTTCTGCAACAGGAAAGACTACATCAAATTTGCTTAAGTATCTGCAGGTAATGATATTTTTCTCTAGTAGACAATTTTTTTTTGACTGATGCAATAAAATATCATTCACCATCAATCCATCAAATTATTTTCGATATATAGTTCAGGCTTCACTGTAATGATAATAGATTGATTGTTAGACTTGTTATAATGTTGGACAATGCTTACTTTCAAAACCTCATATTAAATGTTATTTTTTCAGAGGAAACATCCCGATGTTTATGAAAACCTCAACAAAACAGGCTGGTCAGAGCAAGTTAACCAACCTGGATTACCTTCCTTTGTACCAAAATCCAACTAAGAAATTGCAATCTTCAGATCCAGGTTAACAAAAAGTCATCACATATGCTATTGTCACATTCATTGCCAAGGATCTAATGCCCCTCTCAATTGTTGAC